CAGAAATAACCTCATCATCAACAAACAGAACGTCAATCTGAAAGATTTGAGACCCAATCTGAAAGCCAGCAACTACAAAGTCGACAGGTGGATAAATCCTTAAAGATGGGAAGAAACCAGCACAAAAAGGATGAAAACACCCGAAACCAGAACACCTCTCCTCCTACAAGGGATCACGACTCCTCACCAGCAAGGGAACAAGGTTGGAGGGAGAACGAGTGTGATGAAATGACAGAATCAGACTTCAGAAGGTGGGTAGTAAGAAACTTCTGTGAACTTAAAGAACATGTTCTAACCAAATGCAAAGAAACTAAGAACCTTGAAAAAAGATTTCACGAAATGCTAACGAGAATGGACAAAATAGAAAGGAATATAAGTGAATTGATGGAGCTGAAAAAGGCAACACGAGAACTTCGTGAAGCATGCACAAGTATCAACAGCCGAATTGACCAAGCAGAAGAAAGGATATCAGAGGTCGAAGATCAACTCACTGAAATAAAATGGGAAGGCAAGACTGGACAAAAAAGGGTAAAAAGGAATGAACAAAATCTCCAAGAAATGTGGGACTATGTGAAAAGACCTAATCTACGTTTGATAGGCGTACCTGAATGCAACGAAGAGAATGAATCCAAGCTGGAAAATACTCTTCAGGATATTATCCAGGAAAACTTCCCCAACCTAGCAAGGCAGGCAAACATTCAAGTCCAGGAAATACAGAGAACACCACAAAGATATTCGTCAAGAAGAGCAACCCCAAGGCACATAATCGTCAGATTCACCAGGGTCGAAATGAAGGAGAAAATACTAAGGGCAGCCAGAGAGAAAGCTCGGGTTACCCACAAAGGGAAGCCCATCAGACTCACAGCAGATCTCTCAGCAGAAACCCTACAAGCCAGAAGAGAATGGGGGCCAATATTCAACATCCTTAAAGAAAAGAACTTTCAACCCAGAATCTCCTATCCAGCCAAACTAAGCTTCATAAGTGAAGGAAAAATAAAATCCTTTGGGAATATGCAAGTACTCAGAGATTTCGTCACCACCAGGGCAGCTCTACAACAGCTCCTGAAAGAGGATCTACACATATAAAGGAACAACAAGTACCAGCTCAACTAAAGGGCAAAACAGCCAGCTAGCACCAAAATGGCAGTATCAAATTCACACATAACAATATTAACCCTAAATGTAAATGGACTAAATGCCCCAATCAAAAGACACACACTGACAAATTGGATAAAAAGACAAAACCCATCAGTGTGCTGTATCCAGGAAACCCATCTCACATACAAGGATACACAAAGGCTCAAAATAAAGGGATGGAGGAAGATTTACCAAGCAAATGGAGAGCAAAAAAAAACAGGAGTTGCAATTCTCATCTCTGATAAATTAGACTTTAAAGCAACAAAGATCATAAGAGACAAAGAGGGACATTACATAATGGTAAAAGGATCAATGCAACAAGAAGAGCTAACGATCCTAAATATATACGCACCCAATACAGGAGCACCCAGATACATAAGGCAAGTTCTTAATGACTTACAAAGAGACTTAGACTCCCACACAATAATAGTGGGAGACTTTAACACCCCATGGTCAACATTAGACAGATCAACCAGACAGAAAATTAACAAGGATATCCAGGACTTGAACTCAGACCTGGACCAAGCAAACCTAATAGACATTTACAGAACTCTCCACCACAAATCCACAGAATATACATTCTTCTCAGCACCACATCACACCTACTCTAAAATTGACCACA